AGATATTTCCAGAAAGCAGGGGGCGTGACACTAGTCACGTGACCTCGCTGACGCAACAATATGTTATCAGTACATGATAAAAAATTATACAATTATGATGAATATCTAACCAATGTCCACCCATATTTTACAACATGTATGACCAGGTATAGTAGATTTATACCTGATGAATGATAATCATAGATGTTAATCATGTGTTATTAAATATGGATTTTTTAACATAAAAAAATGCAAATGTGAATTGCAATGGTGCTCTTTTACATAAGTACAGAAAGCAAATTTCATGATAGTTGCCAGTTGGGCAATAGCAATGTATAGATATTTACCAAATATGAATAAAATTGGAGAATGTGGTATAAATATTCAAAAATAATCATTTTCACTCAAGGAGTACAATATTTAAAGCATAAGTATGATATTTATACAAGCAAAGCACAATAAGATCACTTTACACCACAAATTTATTTAATAAAAATTCATCTTTACAATTAGGCAGGGTCAAATGCCAATAAAAGCACTTTAGGGTTGAGATCTAAAATGGGGCTTGCCTTTATATAATTTTACATATACTAAAGAATGTTTGGTACTTTCTTCTAAGTTTGAACAATTCTTCCAAATATCTTAGCTTAACTGCTGGACTAAGCCTTAAGGTGTAAAATTTTGGCATTGTTAAGCATAGTTAATCTTGATATCCAGTAAGAATTTATGCAAGATTTTTAGTGACTTATGAATTTTATAAAATAAACTTTCACATCGTTTGATGGAAAAGTTACCAAAGTTTATAGAATTAATATTCAGACACCAGAAAACTGAGAAAGTTTTGCATGAATTGAAGGTGTAACTTAATGAAGAGTGCTTGCTTATGTGTTATGAAAACTTGCACTATATTTTACATTGTGGAGCTTATTAATATTTTAAGCTAATTTTCTGAATAAATGTATACACATTCATGGCAATAATATTAGTATAACTGCCCTTATTTATTTTTATTGAATATATAATTATTTTTCAGTTAAAAGTCTAAATTTGAAAAACTCTAAGCCACTGAATTCAACCATGTCTCCAACTCAATCACTTTCTCCAGGGCCACCTAGTGAGATGTCTATTGCATCACTGATATCTCAAGGGTCACATTCATCATCAAGAATAGTAATTCACAAACAGAATCACATCTCTAGCCATGGTGAGATTTCCAGTTTTTCAACTGTCTTAAACATAGTGTACAATATAATTTACCTTGAAACAAGAAAAGTTTAATATTTTTATAAGGGATATGTTTTTTCAAAAATCTCATAAATTATTTCCTTGCATTATAAATATTATGATTAATAGTACTGGTGTATTATTAGAAAAAATCATAGAAGCATGACTTGGATATTTATTGTAGGATAACAAATAATATAAGTATTGTTACGTCTCCGTTCGTTAATTGATTTTCCGTAAATTCGTTCTGACGAAACTTTAGCGACACGAGTCCTTACTTAATAAAACTGGTTTATTCTTTCCGAATATAACTTTACGATACACTTAATTTCAACAATCGTGCTAAAACAAACTCTATAACAACAAACGTGCTGAACTTCAATAATACTCTCAGACTGCAGATCAATTACTCACTGTCTACACACACATTGTTCCGTCACGTTGTCACCCTCTTATATATATATACCAGACTACCCTATATCTAGTAATCTCCCGACAATTCCCGAAGGTTCGAAAGAAGTGGCGTGACACTAGTCACGTGACCTCGCTGACGCAACAGTATAATCACTTCTTGAACATAAAGTGTTTCAAGTTATTTATATTTTGTATAACAAAACTGATTTCTTTACAGAACATGTAATTATGATGTAACATTTCTTGTCCTGTAACTTCTGAAGTGTAATAATATTAGCTTTGCTCCAAAAACGGTACTATACAGGTGGATTCAGTGCAGTACCTTTTTTAAGTTTGAATGCTGTTTGGAAGTGGAGTATAAATGTAAATGACAGTTGTATAAAGATTAATTAAAGTAGGAAAACAAAATATGGATTAACATTACACTTTGATTGGAATCTCTAAATAGTGAGACAAGAAAAAAACTAATAAATATAAAGTCAACTTACAGTGAGCTATGATGGTCAATTTTAATTCTGATTGATCTGTCATTGTTAGTGTTCAAACTGCTAGTTCGTTTCCAAAAGAACACATTTTCTCCTCTCTCTCTTTTGTCAAAAAAAATATGTGCAGTAATTGGTGTTGTAGTCATTGTTTTGTGTTTCATGATTTATTTGTTTTTTTTTGTATTAAACATACTTAAAATATCAAAAAGAAGAATAGATAAAAAAGGATTAGAATGTGTTTCTGACTTGGATCTATACTAGAGTCTATACTAGTTGGTTGGTGGTACTTAATTATCTTATTCATCCAGCTATCTGCTATATATTCATCTTAAAATTATGGTACAGTTTTACATTTCTCTCAAAGCTGCTACAGAAGTCTCCTTAAATAAACTTGTTTTTTTCATACAGATGTTTGTTCCATAAATTTACCATTAAATTTTATTTAAAAGACATTCCGTTAAATGGCCACATGAGATACACATTTTTTTTTTGTACCAAATGATATTCTAATTATTTATATATAGAAGAGTTTAGGAAACACATCTCTGTCTTTTTTAATTTTAAACAAGAAATAACAAGAACTAAGTTGTTGTGTCAAAGTTGTTCTCAATTGCATTAACTTGTATATAAATCTTTTCAAAAGCCTATGATCGTTTCTTACCTCACAAGTACAGAAAAATGGCAAGATTCTTTTTGTATTTGACTGTTTGTAAAAGTAATACATGGCAAAGAATTAAGTCGTTAAGAATTGGATTTATCAGAATCATCAGGAACTTATATTTCAAACATAATTAGCTATGCTTTGAAAGTGTATTAATGTAGTTTTTTATTAGGTTGTAGAATAAAATATTTTGTTAATATGTAACATAATATATTTGCAATTTATTTTTACATGAATAACCAGCTTAAGTAACAAAAAAAAATTCTGTGATGAAAGTAGAAATTTTAATTACACTTTTAGAAGCATGAATTTGAGGTATGAAGCAGATGTTAATTTTGTTCTGCTGAAAACTACAACTTTATTTGTTCATTTTATGAAAAAGTTATGTAAGCACTATTTGTTTTAATCAAAGTAAATGTGTAATACTTAGCTGAACAGTAGTTGATGTGACCCATTATTTTTTCCACTATAAGACCTATAATGTGTACAATAAACCTTTTTACTTGTTAATGAAAAATTAGTCTGTTTAAAGTGAAGTTACTTCAGTTTCAAATAAAACATTTAAGAGAAAGTAAATACGTTCTGTGAGCTATGATACACATATGGTTATAGTGGCAACGATAAACTAGCATTTAGCTAAAAATCACATCAGAAGCTGTCTCTCTTAAAACAGTGTGAAATATGTAAGAAAATAAAGAACTGTCATTTATTTTTTGTAATTTTCTTGACTGGAATACATGAAATATTTATTTAAAATCTGTTAAAAGGTAGGTTTTTATGTATTTCAATCATCTTTATGAAATAGTTTTGAAACTTTAGCTTGGTTACAGTTCACATGTTAAGTTTTGGTGATGTGTTTTAGCTGATGCACTTTTTAGACTTTGTATTATATTTTAAGTCCTATCTTTTATATTTTGTAAATATCTTTATTTTTTTGTGTGAACATGCATTCCCACTACTTAACGGGGGAAACAAAGTCAGGTAAAAATTATTACAATTTCAGTCACAAGAAGTGTAATTATCAAGCCTTCTGTAGGGAAGACTAACCAAAGCTTTTCTCAAAAACAGACACCAGCCAAGAAAGGTAAAAATGTGCATCAGTAGCCTAAAAATTGTGAATTTTTTGTTCTGTGATTATTTTAATATTTAGATTCTGAATAACTTTAAAACATTTGAGGTTACATTATTGTATATTTTATTATGTAAAGTCTGTTTACATGATAATACCTTATAAGATAGGTCAAGTAAAACCTAGCCAAACGATTGTGATTTCACTGCCTGATATAGTTAATGTTAACATAATTGTATAAGAAACTTTAACATAATAAAGTTATTCATGACTTTAAACAGCTCAAACTTTCTTTTTAATACCTTCCTACTTCATCACTGCCAAGTTTTTGAAAACTAGCCAAATGTAATGATGTATAATTCCCATAGTTACATTATGTGTTTTGAAACATTGAATGTTTGGGTGATAATAATAGCTATACTGGTATTAATGAAGCTTATATTAGATGACCTTAGTCAAGGTATAATTTTGATAACATTGTTTTATTATAGTAAGTGTTTTGGAGAATGTTTAACTTAAAATCACTAAGAGGATTGTAAAGGAAAGACTGAGGAATATACAGTTATACCTAAGGTGAAGAAACATGCACATTGTATGCTGAGGTGTGTTGAAGTTAACAAAAAGAAAAGTTTGGACAGCTTGGTAGTATTGAAATTAAAGTATTAGTACATATGCTGAACTAGTTTTGGACAAAACCCAAACTTCAACTTCTGTCTTCTGTACATACATTCTACTTTTTTTTTTTTTTGCTCCTAGGCTTATTGTCATGAGAGACTTGCCATATTTTTTTACCCGATCATAATTGTTTTAAAGAGAAGAAAATCAGTGAATTTTGCTTTCTGTTTTTAAGCATTGCATACTTGTTTGATTGATTCTTTGGCATGGTACTTTATGGTGTAATGGCAAGAAAATTAATGAGTCTTCCTAGCTTTTTCAGCAAGATATCTTTCTTTGATTTGATCCTAGTGATTAGAAAGTTATTAACTATTTTCACCCTTACGTTCACAAGCATTTTTCATGTCACTTTCCTTTGCTTCAATATATTTTGTGTGATAAAAAGAACTAATAAGCCCATATTACTGTTCAAAGTGTTTACCTTTTTATTTTGTAGTAGTATCTCTTGTTTACAGTTATTCAATGCATCATTCCTGCCCGAGTATAAGTCCTAAAAAGTAATTTAAAATTTTTTTGCATATTAGTATTCTTGGGGGGCCAATTAGAGAAGTCTATTAGGTTGGATATGCTTTGCATGATATTTTGGCAGAGCTAGTGAAGAAGATGATCATTTCTTCTGCCAGTCAACTTTTATTGCCCTCTACTCTAGCAAGGCCTGTTGCATCTTCTGTAGCCAACTCCTCTCAGCCTTTACAAGCCTCTTCTACTAGAAATCTTTCTTTCTCCCAACAGATTCAAAGACAGAGGAGAGGTTAGTTTTCTTCCTTTATTTATTTTATAGTTCTCTGTATAGTGCAGGTTATGTTTACTCGCAATATTGATATAGCACAGAGTTAATCATTGTGCAGAATGGACAATACAGTAGTCCTGTGTTAGTTTTCATAGCTTGTAAATACTCTTTATATTTGTATATATATTTATTTATTTATACATATATAGCAAATCTTGAAGTAATTATACATTATATAAGTACGCTAGCAAATTTCAAAAGTGTCATAATTTAGAAGCACCAACCAAATAATAATTACTTCAAAGAAAACACCAACAGATTATATTTTATTTAAAAATGTAAAATTCTTCAGTTACATCACCAACTCTCTTTATTTAGTATGTATTACAGTAGGTGTCTAAATCTGCATGACTGAACTCTTTCAGTTGGTCTTCACAGCTGGCAGTTTGAATACTTAATAAAGAAGCACATAATCAAGTACAATTTACTTTTTGTAATAGACAATCACACTTTTTTAAATTATGTTACATTTTAATTGTTCTTATATCAATGTTTAAATCAACTTTGAAATAAAATATTTGTTATAATTGTTAAAAGGGTGTATGTTTAGATAAGTTTGATAAACATACACATTGTAAAGTATACTGTTGATGAACTTCTTTCAATATTTTATAAGTTCTGTTATGCAGAAAGTAAAATTGAGTAACTGATTTAATACGACAAATCTAGATTTGTTATTTTTGGAAAAAAATAGTACAGTTGTGTTTTTTAACTAAGCAAAGTTTTTATAATTATTGTTATCTTTGTTTAATGAGATCTATATTATTCCTAGCAAATTCCTAGGAACCATTCAACAAACATATTAACAATCATTACTGTTTAATAACACAATCTCAGTTCCAGTGACAGAAACACTAAGTCTTGTCTGTCTTTAACTTCCTTAAAATTTCCAACTCCTCAAGTTACATTTAAGTTCGTTAAAAAATTATATGTATACAAAAAAATGTGAAGCCAATTTAAAATCATGTTTTATCTAATATATTAAAAGTAGTTTTAGTAGTAGTCAAGAAGTAAGACAGATTATCAACTATTCAAAATAAGATAAAAATTAACTAACAGATTTTTAGATTTGCACTTTGCATTTGTTGAAAAATTATGTAAAACTTTCTTTTTTTGAATCACTCAGTTTGACTTATCTCCAAATATGATCCCTAACTCCATACTTTAATTCTTTTATTCTTTTTTGACATATACAAGTGTTTTATTATTAAATTAAATCATAGATCATTTCAAATAAGTAAAATCTGTCACTGAACTTTTACTTTTCTTACTCATCCAATACCTATTTTCACACAGTAGCCGACCCCCAGTGGCACAGCGGCATGTCTGCGGACTTACAATGGTAGAAACTGGGTTTCGATACCTGTGGTGGGCAGAGCACAGATAGCCCATTGTGTAGCTTTGTGCATAAATTCAAACAAACAAACACAAAGTAGCCAGTTCTTTAATAGAAATTTAATTTTGTCATTCAGAAATTAATATAAGTGCTTTATATATTATTTAAATCATTTTAGAAAATCAGAACTGATCTTGATTTTTATGTAGTTAAATATATATGAATATATACATGTTTTATCTGTTGACTCACCATTGTTGTATAATGCTGAATGTTTGCGTATATACTTTACATGCATGTAGTACGTTGATTATCTTCATTTTTATATATTTTTAATTTCTCACAAACATGTTGCAGTACCTTTAAGTTAAGACCATAATAACCAGTTTAACCGAATATTGTTGGTATATAACAAACAACTAACATAATGATATTAAACATAACCCACACATAGTTAATCTGTAATAATAATTTTACTCTGTGACAAAAATAGTTAATTTTTTAAGCACATACTACTGTTACCTACAAGGCCTTTTTCTGCAGCTATAGAACACATATTACTGTTACCTACAAGACCTTTTTCTGCAGCTATAGAACACATATTACTGTTACCTACAAGACCTTTTTCTGCAGCTATAGAACACATATTACTGTTACCTACAAGACCTTTTTCAGCAGCTATAGAACACATATTACTGTTACCTACAAGACCTTTTCTGCAGCTATAGAACA